AAGAGTGTCCTATCTAAACATCATCAGCATGTGTTTTATTGAGTGATATCCTCAGTAAAAATAGGGTGGGTGGACTGTAAATACATGTGGTTTAAGCAGAAAAAAGAACATTTATTTTTGTTGTTTAAAAAAAAATTATTAAAAGGCAAAAAAATAGAGCCGTTTGATTTGAGGTACAGGACTGTAAAGCATTCTGCCTTGGCATTTGCTTTGGTGGGAAGAGTCAGGAGTACCGTTTGTGTCCTCATTTCTTACACATGGGCAGAAACCTTAAATAATGGGCCAAAAGCACGCCGCCTGAGGCAGCTGGCTGATCCTGCAGACTGCATCCGATGTTGCCTTTTACAGCTGGACTTTAATGTGGGTGCTCTGTTAGAAATCTGACTTCCAGAACAGTGACAACTTGAGAGGGGGTGGCTGCCTGGCAGTGGGGCTGATCCTGCTCTAATGGAAACCAAGCAAGGCTTTTACCAGCTTCAGAGGAAAACACTGGCAGCAGAAGTCACTTTGCACTTGTGACAAGGGTCTCCAGAGTGGTGCAGGATCATTAAGTGCTTTAAATGAGCACTTTTATAACCTGTATTTCTGTAGCTCTTGAAGTAACACTTAAACTGCTCCTGTACTGAGTAGTAAATCAGTCACAGTAGCAAGTCTTTTTTTTTTTTTTTTTTTTTTTTTTTCTTATTTTCAGAGAAGATACGATTTGAATAGAAACTGGTGGGAAGCGATATTGCTTCAGACGGTAAAATCAGTGAGAAAATCTAATGTGCCTACGGCTAGCTGGAGCAGTGGGAAAAAGCCAGTAACACAAGTCCATTCGTTTTCTGGAGCTCCTGGTGTTACTACTTTTGAATGCTGCGTGGCCCGGTGTCACAGAAAAGAGCTGTATTCCCTGGTGCCCTCTGCACCGCGGCGATAAGCTGCTGCCCTCCTCTGTGAAAGAGCTTCTCCGCCAGAAACCCAACTCATCCCTGGCCACCCCTTGGCACTCAGCTGCTATTGCCCTGGGCTGCCACGGGTCAAAGTGTGAAACAAATGAATTAGTATTGAGAGAAAAACAGACTATTACAAGTACAGCATAATGTGTCCTCCGATGTGATTGTTTCTCTCTATCTTGCACTGAGCAGTTGGCTCTTAAGCAAATGCAGGTTTTAATTGCATTGCTTGCTCTGCTAGCATGAAGATTGAGGGTTTAGCCCCTTCTTTTTCCAATGCTGTGTATAGCCAAGTTGAAACCATTTTCTGCTGTTGTGTTTCATGATGATACTGCCTAAAATTAGGAATGAGTAGAAGAAAAACAACATTCATTGAAAAATGTTGCAGATTAACTGCTTACTCTGAATTCCCGGGAAGCGGGTGAGCAATCTTATTCTTAGTTTCATTAATTGGAAGGGCCTGTGTCCCCCAGAGTGCTGCCAAAGACATTTCCTCCAAAAGGTTTACACTTTGTAAAAGTGAAATAGAAAGAGGGAGAAAATTAAGGCTATCTGTATCAGTAGAAGCTGAGTTTTAATAAAATTGTGCACGCAGCTCTTCTAGAAAGATGCTGAGGGCTTTTGTGTAAGTGTCTTAAGAAATTAAGACAATATTGAGAATTAGAAGTTAAAATTCAGTTTGTGCTGGAACATAGCAATTATGTAGACTTTAAATATGCCTAACCTTTTTAATTGCTCACTTTTTTAGTGCTGCTGAATTTTGGGCGAGTTTGGTTCCCACTTAAGCAGTACTGGGTACATCTTAAAGCATGTCATGAAGGATGTTTCTTCATCTGGATGTTGAGGCCAAGGTTTTGAAAGCAGACTGAGTGTTCTTCTTGGCATTTTCATTCTAAACCAAATGCATTTATCAATGTATGGTGCTTCCTGAACAAAGGAGTCTTGCTGTCCTGCTCTTCAGGTTTATGTACGGAGCATACCTGTAGCCCTAGAGTTGTGTGAGATGGAGGGGACCTGTAGAGGTCCTGTGGTCCAGCCCCTGGCTCAAGACAAGTCCAGTTTGAGCAGGCTGCTGAGGGCATTGGCCGGTCACATCTCAAATATCTCCAAGGATAGAGATCCCAGAGTTTCTCTGGACAGCCTGTTCCAGCATTTGAGAATGCTCATGGTAGGGGTTTTTTCTTCTTGTATTGAGTTGGCATTTCTCATGTTCCTGCTTACGTCTGCTGCCTCTTGTCCTTTCATTCTGTACCTTTGGCAAGAGCCTGGCTCCAATTTCATATACACGTCATTGGGTGGTTTTAGACAGCAGTAAGATCTTCCCTGAGCTTTTAAAGGCTGAACAAGTCCATCTTCAACCCCTGCTCATGCATCCTGTGCTTCAGCTCTGGACCTAGCCATCTTCACTGGTCTCCCTCCAGTAAATCCTGTCCTGAGGAGCCCAAAAATGGTACACGCTGCTCCAGATACAGTCTCTCAAAGAATGAACAGAGGGAAAGATCATGTCCCTGGACCTGCTGACTACACTAATGGAGCCCGGTATGCAGTTGCCGCCCTTTGTGGCAGGGACACTCTGCTGACTCATGTTCCACTTGGTGTCTACCAGGTCCCCTACGTCTTTTTATGCTTTCCAGCTGATTGACCCGCAGGCTGTACTGGTGCATGGGGTTATTCTTCCCTGGGTGCAGGACTTAGCATTTGCCCTTGTTGATATTCATGAAGGCAGAAGATAGGAAGTAGTGTCCACTTTGTCTCATCAGGTCTAATATCCTGGGTCAAATTTATACCTGTGGAACAGCCTTGAGGGATGTGATTGTACCGGGTACAAGTCAGAGAAGAATTTGATCCTGTATAGGTCCTCAGGTTGCAGTCTGACATTACATCTGAGCTAGTGTCACTGCAGGCTGTTATTGAAATGGGTAGTTCTGCTTTCCCCACATCCCTGACCATATGCTTCTGTTAATTTTCTTGTATCAAACTGAGTTGACTGTTCAGCCACAGAGTCAGATCAACAATTTAAAGAATAGAATGCCATCCATCTGCCCTGAAAAAAAAAAAAAAAAGATTTCTTTTGGCCCAGAAAGCTTGAATGACATGCTCACAGCTGCATAGGTTGAGGCATGGTGCAGAGAAAGATGAAACCAGGTCTAGACCTTTTGGTGTCAGCACATGGTTACCCTGGATTAGGCTGATGGTGGTTTGATGTTTTACAATGTAATTTTGTTGGTCAGCTCCAGTCATTTCTGGGTTTACAAATATTGGAGGAAGGTGGATAAAACAAAATTAATTGGAAAATGAATCATAGAAGATGTATTAAAATCCTACAAGTCATTTCAGAGAGATGCTTTGAAGATGCTCTTAATTCTCATTTTAAAAATAGGTTATCCAACTGTGAAAATCACACTGAATATTTTTAAAAGGATAAGTAGCTAATTAAAACCCATACCTAGCAATGTTCAGTGGGTGACTGGTTGTGAGATGTCATTATATTTGAAGGCAGATATGCTGCTCTTAACCTACAATGCTATATATAGTGCTGCTCACAATTAAAGAGCTCAGAAACTGAAACCTTGCTAATTGACTGTTACCACCTTCTGTAGTGCCTTCGCTCGTACCAGCGTTGAAATCCTCAAGTTGGGCTGCTTGTGAAAAGGAGAGGTCAGATGTTACAGAAATACTGGCAAATGTGTTGTGTATGAATTCTGGATTCCCACTGAACAAAAGAGTGAAGCAAATGCTGAGTCTTAATTACAAGTTTAGAAGACCAGTGAGGGAAGGAAGCGCCTGCCTGTACCTTTGGGTGGACAACTTCCAAGGAATATATTTTCTTTCAGGTTGTTTAATTACCTAATGTAGCTGAATCAATTCAAAGTGAAGCGTCCCTACTTCTACTTTACTTGATACTTGGTGCATCTGTTTCAGATGGGCTTCTGTGTTCGGCTGGAAGTTCAGCTGGATTTTTGTTAGTTAAATCATTGAGTCAAAAACATATTAACTTTGCCTCTGGCTTCTGCTCCTAATATACTAGATAGAAGAATGCTCCGTAGTTGCGGTACTTCTTAAGAGCAGTGAATCGTTCATGGCTTCCAGGACATCACCATCTTCAGGATTATTAACGGTGCAAAGCCTGCCCTTTTTCTGAGACCTCTCACAAGAGTCCAGTTGGGTCATTAACTGAGTCTCAGTCTTGTGCCCCATAAAGGGTATGGCACACCATACTGGATGGTAATATCCTGCCCAGGGCATGCAACTGCGCACAAGAAGGAAAGATATTGGGGTATGGCAGGGTAGTTGTGTGGTTGTGTCTGTGGAATAGGTTACCATTTTTGTGGGGGTTTAATTCAAAATAGATTACCAGGGGTTGTAATAAGTATATGGCTGTCTGTAAATCAAGATGAGATGTTTTCCTAAAAACACATAGGAGGTCAATTACAAGTTCTTGTCTCAGTTCTGGAACAGTTGAATTTCCTTGGCTTGTGCCTTTCCAGGTCAATCTTAGTTCTAGATTTGATTTTGTAACATTTTATTAAAATGAAAACTTGATTAAATGGTGTCTTTCACATTGGCAGTAGAAAACTAGGACAGCATTTGAATTATATCACTCCCTTGTTAGGACAGTTTTTGGTAATCAGTCATTAATTTTCATTATCTCTATAGAAGTGTATCATGTTTGGTAATTTTTATTCCAATGAATGTACACTCATGTCCAGAGGTCCTTTCCAACCTCAACTGTTCTGTCATGTTCATGAAAACCCTTTTATTATTCTATATATTAGAGTGCTCCGTGACTTTAAGCAGTATGAAAATCAATTACAAATAACAGTTATGACCTAAAACTAACCTTTTTTAAAAAAAATATATATATATATACACACACACATGTGTAACACAGGAGCTTGCTGCTGGATTGCTGCAAGACGGGACAGACTTGCTGCTCGCTGGAGCGGTGCGGCTCCATCGCGTCCTGCCTGTTATACTACAGGCAGAGTTGTCGTCTTCTGATCAGGTTATCAAGTAAAATTCATGGTACATGGTGGAAAAAGGTACATGAACAGGTGGAAATTTAGGACTCCTGGATCTGTACTAACATGGCATTGGGCCTGTTTGTACCAGAATCGCACATGGAACCTTTAGGCATGTCAAAGAGCGGGACAATTTTAAAGGCTATTTCCATAAAATATTTTTCCTTAGCTTAAATTTAGGTAAGAAAGTAGCAAGTATTTGGAGTAATAAGTTATTAGTGAAGGAAAAAAAAAAAAGGTGAAAAGCAGAATTCATTATAAGATATCCAAAGATATGAGTATTTAAACTGCATGTGTCCTCATAATTTTTGAAGTATTGCCTATGGTCCAAAATGGATGACAGTGTTGAACATTTATTTAGCTGGTTTAAAATAGATTTTAGTAACATTATTTAGAAACAAAGGACAGCATTGCTTTTGTTCTCTTTTTAAGTAATAAAAATTTTCTTTTAAATGCAACATAAATGTAGAAGAAGCCACTCTTGGGTGGTTTAGGGAGCAAAATAATGTTTATGCTTAGCAAGAAGTATCTGTGCACTTTTGTAGTGAAGGCAGTCTCTCAGTTGATATGAAT